AAAGAAGAAAGATTGAGGAAGGGAAGTGAGGGGAAGGAGGGAAGATGAAGGGAAGGAGGGAGGGGAAGTAAGGGTGGAAAGGATGGAAGGAAGGAGGGAAAAAGATTAGGAAAGGAAGGGGGAGGGAAGGAGGAAGAGGAAAGAAGGGAGGGAAAAGGAAGAAAAGAAGAAAGATTGAGGAAGGGAAGCAAGGAGGGGGTCAAGATGGAGGGAGGGAGGGAAGGAGGGAGTCAGGATGGAAAGGAAGGAAGGAAGGAGGGAAAAAGATTAGGGAATGGAGGGGGAGAGAAGAGGGAAAGAAGGAAGAAAAGAAAGATTGAGGGAGGGGAAGGAGGGAAGATGAAAGGGGGGAGGGGGGTAAGGGTGGAAAGGAAGGAGGGAAGAAAAATTAGGAAAGGGAGAGGAAGGGAAGAGGGAAGGGAGAAGGGAGAGAGGGAGGCATGATGGATGGAAGGAAGGAAAGAAGAAAGGGAGGAATAGAGGAGGGAGGGAGGGCGGAGGGAAGGGAAGGGGTTGATATTGAACCGTAGTGACCGTATGAGCGCCAAAAGAAGGAGGGGGGAGGGTTAGGGGTGTCTCTCTTTACCTGCCCCTCCCCTCCCCACCCCCCTCCTCCCTCCCTCCCTCCCTGCAGGCCTTACTCCCTCCGGCGGCCGAAGGGCTCCTGGCCGGGGAGTTTGAGCGCCTGGGGCGCCTGCGCTACAAGGGGGGCCTGAGCCTGGAGAAGGCCAAGGAGGGCTGGTTTGCCCTGGGGGGCTCCACCCTCTACGCCCTGCTGGACGGCAGCGACAAAGAGGAGCCCATTCAGCTGCGGAAGCTCCAGGAGCTCTGTGAGTCCGTGCGCAACCCACCCCGGGCCGGCTCAGCGTCTCAGAGAGCCGTGGAAGCTCGCTTAACGGGCCGTGGCGACTCACTGAATGACCACCAGGAAAAGGGGGCAAAATTGGGTTGGCCAAAGGACGGAGCCCTTTTACGTCCAGGGGTGGGATTCTACCGGTACGGACCGGTTCTATAGAACTGGTGGTTATGATTCTGTCCAGTTCGGAGAACTGGAGAATCGTGGCCCTGGCTGGGCTCTCCCCTCTCCACCTGCCCCTCCCCTCCCCTCCCTGTCCAGTCAGTCCTTATCATGCATGCCCGACATTGCTGAGTGCGTCCTCCCCCACCCAGGCACTCCTTAAGGTATTTCTTTCCCCCTCCTCCCAATGACCAGCTGTTACAATGACCAGCTGTTCTGACGACCAGCTGTCCCGACAATCAGCGGTCCCAATGATCAGCTGTCCCGACAATAAGCTGTTCTGACAATCAGCAGTTCCGATGATCAGCTGTCCTCGCGATCAGCTGTCCCAACAGCCAGCTGTCCCGACGATCAGCTGTCCCGACGATCAGCTGTTCTGACAATCAGCTGTCCCGACGATCAGCTGTTCTGACAATCATCTGTCCCAACGATCAGCTGTTCTGACAATCATCCGTCCCGATGATCAGCTGTTCTGACAATCAGCTGTCCCAACGATCAGCTGTTCTGACAATAAACTGTTTTGACAATTAGCTGTTCTGACGATCAGCTGTCCCAACGATCAGCTGTTCTGACAATCACCTGTCCCGACAATCATCTGTCCCGATGATCAGCTGTTCTGACAATCAGCTGTTCTGACGATCAGTTGTGCCGGGATCCCCCTCGCAGTCTTACTGCTTCACCCAGGAGTCTTCCCTGGGGCCTAGGCGGCAAAAGGGGGCACGGGGGATTCACTCAGGGTGGACACGCTGACCGATGGCGTGGGTGGGTGGGTGAAGTCCAACTCATTGGGTGCTTCTAGTTTGACCCACCCATTGCTCTCCTTCCGGGGTCTAAAAACTTGGCAAATGATGGAGTGAGAGAGGGAAGGAGGGAGGGTGGGGGAAAGGAAGGAAGGAAGGAAAAAAGGAGGAAAGGAAAGAAGCAGAGAGGGAGGGAAGAAAGGAAGGAGGGAGGGAAGGAAGAAAGGATATAGGAGGGAAGGAAGGATACAGGAGATAGGGAGGAAAGGAAGGAGTGAGAGAGGGAGTGAGGGAAGGAAGGGAAGGATACACAGGCGGGAGGGAAGGAGGAAAAGAGAGAGGGAAGGAAGAAAGAATACAGGAGGGAGAGAGAGAGGGAGGGAAGGAAGAAAAGTGAGAGAAGGGAGGGTGGGAACGAAGGAAGGATACAGGAGGGAGGGAGAGAGGAAAGGAAAGAAGTTAGCATTGATAGCGCCTCAAAAGAAGGAAAGAAGGAGGGAGGGAAGAAGGGAAGGAGAATGAGGAATTCTGGGAAGTGAAGCCCACAAGCCTTAAAGTGGCCCACTTTGGAGACCTCTCCCCCACCTCTGCTCCACTTAGTGACCTGCAATCCCATCCATAAAGCAGATTTCACTGCGGAGGATACAATTCCCTTTTCGGAATTCCGAAAGGAGGGTTGCCTCTCCGCCTGGGGAGGATGGGAGTTGTAGTCAAAACCATTGGGGACCCACAGAATTGGGGGGGGGGGGCTGCTGAGAACAGAGCTGGGAAGGGGGTCCCCTTTGACGCCAGTGGGATCTTACACCCGAGTTGATCTGTGGGATAATTAATGGGCTTAATTAATTAACGTCTTGCCCTCCATTCATTCTTATATTTGCTTCGCAGCCCTCGAAAACGACGTCCTCGTGCTGGTCGAAAGAAGAAGGTAAGCGGTTCGTTTAACGACGGTTCGAAGTTGCAATGGGGCAGAAAAAAAAATGACCTACAACCGGTCCTCGCACTTGCGACCGTTGGAGCATCCCTGTGGTCATGTGATTAAAAATCCGGGCCATTGGCCTGTCTTTGTGACCCTGGGCAGAGTCTGGGATCGAGTGGATCCCCTTTGGGGATCTTCCCAGCTGACTTCCGACGGTGAACTGGATTCGCTTAATGACCACGCGCTGCAGGGAGTCATCCAGCAGGGCAAGAAGGTTGCCAAATTGGGAGCCGCTCACTTAACAGCTGCCTCACTTAGCAACCGAAGTTCTGGCCCCCGTTGTGGTCGTACGTTGAGGACTACCTGTAAAGATGGGGGGTTTTTTTCTTTCAAAGAAATTAAAATTTGAATTGAATTGAATTAAAATTCAAATATTCAGGGTTTAATTTTGCCTTTTCAGGTTTTTTTTATTTCCATTTTATGAAGAAGGGAGGGAGGAAGGAAGGAAGGCAGAACTGAGAGGAAGGAAGGATGGAACAAAAGAGGGAAGGAAGGAAGGAAGAAGGAAAGAAGAAAGGAAGGGAGAAAGAACTGAGAGGAAGGAAGGAAGAAAAGAAAAGGAAGGAAGGAAGAAAAGGGAAGGAAGGAATGACGGAAC